CCCCCCCCCCCCCCCCCCCCCCCCCCCGCTAAGGCAGCAAAACACGAGTACGCCATCCCCCGCTCCCTCCCCCAAAAGACAAACACCACCCTGCAGCGCACCTCCAGCGGAAGGTAGATGCGTCCCCGTACGGCATCCTCTCCTACGTCCCGCAGGATGTTGGTCAGCTGCAGCGCGATCCCCAGGGACAGCGCCGGAAACTTAGCGTCCTCCTCGGACACCCCCTCCGCCGTCCCCAGGATGGGTAGCACCATCAACCCCACGGTGCCCGCCACGCGGTAGCAGTATAGCTCGAGCTCTTCGAAGGTCTGGTAGCGGTTCTTGCCGATACCGGGGACGTCCATGATCATGCCGTCGATCATGTCCTGCGTGAAATGGGGGACAGACGTAAGGGGTCATGTTCATAACGCCAAGTCGAGTCGGCAGAAAAGTACGATACGTGGGTGAGTCATCCAGAAAGCAATGCCGTCGATCATGTCCTTGCGTGGTGCAGTTGGAGATAGGTATGGCGTTATAAAAACGCCCCGAGTTCGGGCCGGCAGAACAGTACGAAAGGCAGGGTTAAGTATTCAGAGAGCAATAAAAAGAGTGCTTGTGAACACTGGTGCTCCTCTCATTGGCGTCGCAAGTAAGCCCCCAAGAACCAAAGGGCTTGGTCCGTCCTCTTGCTGTAGCATACGCACCAATGCTTCCACCATTCACCACATCAGTAACCACAACGCAGCGCCCCCGCGATACTGCTTTACACCCGGTTCGTCGCACGCACCTTAAACGGAGCGATGGGAAGGGAGGGGTAGTTCTCCCTCACGTCAACCAGAGCCAGGTCCAACGCGTCCTTGGGCTTGCCCTCCCACACGTTCTCCAGGCGAGTCGCCCACTGCACGCACAAAGGCACAAACCATCGAGGTACGGAGGTACGCACGAACAAGTTACACCCACAGAAAACGTCGGATAAGGAATGGGGAAGGCAAGAGTACGGCCACACCCTCAACAAAATTGAAGCTCCCACGCGCAACAGAGAAAAAGAGCATTCGGGGGACGACGCGCATTCGTTGCAGTACACCCACTGTACTCCCCCCCCCCCCCCTCCCCCTCCGCCGCCCCTCCTCGGGTCAGGGGGTTGGGTTTTCGTCGCTTGGCAACGACGTTGTAAAACAAGCCAATTCACTTCGTGAACTCGGCAACCAAGTTACCGGTTTTTTTTTTCACGTCGGGTTTTTTTTTTGCGG